ATTACTAACAGAAGATGGCAATGCATCTGTGCTTGGGTTACAATGGATTACCGACAAGGATGAATTCACGTTTGTGGTGAAGGGGCCAGAAGTTCCCGCGGTTATTACTAAGCGAAAGATGTTGTGTTGCGCATTTGTATGACCCTAATGGTTATATCACACCCCTTACGTTCATGGGGAAGATTATAGCGCCAGATTTTTGGCATTTGAGTGTAAGCTGGGATGAAGAAGTTCGCCAAGATTTTAAAGATAGATGGCTAGGATTTTGGCAAGACATTACTGTACTAGAAACATTTAGGCTACCTTGATTCATTGGGACGGCAAGCAAATATTCAGCTGCATATCTTTGCGGATGCATCCGAAAAGGCTTAGGGGCGGTTATTTATGTGCGAGTAGAGAGCAAATTTGGCATGATTACATCCGAGCTATTGATTTCAAAAGCTAGACTCGCACCACTGAGGACGATTACCATTCTAAGCTTGAGCTTGCTGCTGATGAGCTTTTGGCTAGGCTATATTCAAGTGTGGTGCAGAGCATGGAGTGGCAAGCGGTTGTTATATGATGTGGACAGATTCGACGATGGTTTCGCATTGGTTCCGCAAATTTACATGCCAACTGAAGGTTTATGTGGCAAATCGGGTGGCGTCTGTACAAGCTAAATCTGACGTAAACAAATGGCATCACGTCGGGACGAGTGACAATCCAGCTGACCTTCTGATAAGAGGCGTGAGCCCTAGTGATTTATGGTTGCAAGGGTCTAGCCGGCTTAAGAGATCAAGTGCAGAATGGCTATAAGATAGATTTCTGCAAAAGGAGGTACCTGAGGGTGCAATCGCGGAGCTGAAGGTATATGTTGTGGCTATGGCAGAAGCAACATGGAGCATCAAAAAGAGCCCTAGGGCGGAAGAAATTCTGCAGGTGCAGTGCGCTAGTTCATTGGACAGATTGATCGGAATCATGGCACAAGTGCTAAGATTTATCCATTTATTGAGGGCAAAGGGGAGTAGCTCATTTCTGTAACTCTTCTCTACCGAATATTTCTCTACTGGTAGAGAATATATGTCATTCTCTGCTACTCATTAGCAGTAGAGAAGAGGGCGGCGAATTCATATCTCAATTCTACTTAGTCGAGAATTGTTACAGAAACAAGCTACAGGTTACAGAAGAGAGAGATAGGGCGTTGGAGCTAATTCTGAAAGAAGCACAAGACCTAGCGTACTCCAGTGAAATACGTTCATTGTGAAAGAAAACATCCTTACCGGGTGGGAGCAAGATTGAATAGCTAAAGCCAATGCTGGACGTGAATGGACTTCTACGTGTGGGAGGTAGAATCGGAAGGGCAGAGTGTAATTACGAAATGACGCATCCGGTTATCATTCAACCTGACATCAATTACAGCAAATTAATTTTGAACAAAGCGCATCATTCTACAAAGCATGAGGGTATTCTAGTTATGATGCAGTATATCAGACAGCGCTTTTCAATACCGCGATTGCGGAATGAGCTTCACAGATTCACGCATAAATGCGTTACATGGGCTAGATCCGCTAAAAAGCTAAATGAACAGTTGATGTGTGATTTACCAGCAGATCGCGTCCAAGTCGTGAATCCATTTCTGCACACAGGGGTAGACTACGCGGGGCTCTTTGGGATTAAACAGTTGGAAAGAAATGAGCATTATGTGTTGAAGAAGCTGGGTGCTATATTCGCATGGTGAAACGAATACAGAAAGTGGCGCTGATTGCTATACCGCTAACTCTCTCTTGAAAATTTTGGCAGAAATATGACGTCATAGGAAATTTTTTATATTGCCTGTGTAATATATAGACTGCGGATTTTTATGCAAAATAGGAAGCCTAGAAATATGTTACACATAACTATAAGCAAAGTGTATAAACTTCTATACATTTTGTTTCTACAAATTTATAGACATTGCTTATAGTTATGTGGTACATATTTCTAGGCTCCGTATTTTGCATAAAAATCCGCAGTCTAGTGATATACATATACATATGCAAAACATATACATACTGATAGATCTTTCTCAGCTCTCCACCGGCAAGTCTGCGATGACGTCATATTCACCTTACTCTCCCGAATTTCACATCAATCAGCGCAATCTTGCATTCTATCGGTCTGGCTATGTTCGTTAGCTTGAAAACAAGAGCTGTGGATATTGATATAATCACAGATCTGAGTGCTGGAGCATTTATAGCCTGCTATGAGAGAATCATTGCTAATGGAACATCCTTCGTAGGCACATCAAAGGAGATAATGAGAGCATATGATTGTTGGAGAGCAAGTGATGTGTTTAATGAGCTGAAAACACAAACGGCAATAACGCAAAATTTGCTTTATTTCACTTTTAAATGGGAAAATACCAACATCTGAGTTTTGATTTATTTCCAACAAAGTTTGGAAATAAAACAAAGTTTGCCTTATTTCCCATTGCTTATTTATACTATTTGTAACAAAACCAGTTTACTGACAGAAAGAAAAAGAACTTTGTTTATTCCAAAACTAGAACTAACCCATTAATGACGAGACCCCAATTTTTTTCGTTTGAGCTTCACTGAACGAACAAAATTAAACGCGACTACTTTATTCTAACAACATTTAAGCAAACAAAATAGTTCATATGAAGAAAGTAATATTCACAAAATATTATTAACTAAGAAAAGTCTAACAAAATATAGGAAAGAGTCGTCTTTAATAACTGCTCAACAAATTGGACATAGCGCTTTTGTATGAATTTTATCTGCATGCTTTTTAATATGTTGAACACATTGCTGGAAAACCTTAAAATGTTTGCATGGAACCATGGCGCAATAAACAGGTGACTTAATAAAACAGCTTTCTCGCAAGGAAAAAGAACTTTGTTTATTCCAAAACTAAAACTAACCCATTAATGACGAGACCCCAATTTTTTTCGTTTGAGCTTCACTGAACGAACAAAATTAAACGCTACTACTTTATTCTACCAACATTTATACAAAAAAATAATTCATATGAAGAAAGTAATATTCACAAAATATTTTTACTTAAGAAAAGTCTAACAAAATATAGGAAAGAGTCGTCTTTAATAACTGCTCAACAAATTGGACATAGCGCTTTTGTATGAATTTTATCTGCATGCTTTTTAATATGTTGAAAACGTTGCTGGAAAACCTTAAAATGTTTGCATGGAACCATGGCGCAATCAACAGGTGAAGTAATAAAACAGCTTTCTCGCTCTATTTTCTGTCATTCGGCTGCCTTAAAGTCAAATTTTAAAGACAATTTTTCAAATAAGGCAGTGTCAAATTCTTTTTCTCGCTCTCATTACTGCACCTGGTATAAATCCGCCATGGCATGGAACAAACAAAATTTGCCGTTTCTGTTCGCAGCATATAACACAGGAATATTTTTTTGAGTTTTGTTTTCAGTTAAAATTTCTGCATTATCATCACTGGTTTCACCATATCCGAAATGTGGATTTCGTTTACGAAGACGAAGCGAACATGTGGTACGAAGTAGTGATGTAAAAATATGTAAAATTTTACCTACTCTCAGACTTCTAAATTTGAACGTATACTCGGTACAAGCAGGTGGGATGAGTGGCGCAATAAACAGGTGAAGTAATAAAATAGCTTTCTCGCTTTGTTTTCTGAAATTCTGCTCTCTTATAGTCACATTTTATAGGCATGTTTTCAAATAAGGCACTCACTTAATAATCTATGCAATCTCGCATATGCGGTTTTGCATTTTGCTGATACGCGGTTTTGCAGAATGATGATACGCGGTTTTGTACTTTAAACAACGATATACGTATGTATGCTTATGTATGTATTTAAAACAATATAATAATAAATAATAGCGGCGCGATATTTTTAAAAGTCTTGACAAGTATTTTTTATTTAATTTTAGTTATTATTTCTTAAATATAACTTTTTTTATAACAAAAAAAACATAAGTTCAAGTTTCAGCTTTGCTCAGACTTTCTAATCAGGCTTTTTAGAAAGTCAGGTACATACAGCTTTTTTTGTAAATATAACTCATTGATACAAAGTATGTACGAAAATTTTTTTGCATCGAAGAAAATAATAACACCATCGGTAAAAAAATATCAAACATCTACAAGAATTCTTAGCCACTTGAAACCTCCACAAGAAAAATAATAAACATTAATTAAACAAAATAAAAATAAAAGAAATTGGTCAAAATGTCCTCCTCCACTATTTGTCACTTGACTGTAGGTACATATGTAGTATCTTAAATATAAAAATCTTACTAAGCTAATTAAAAAAAAATTCAATAACAAAAATTATGAATTCAGGCACATATAATGTTAACTTAAGTTAAATAAAAACTTAAAAAATTAATTTAAATAAAATTTAATAACTTCACTAACACGAGGTATATTTCAGTATTGGAAAAAGTAATATAAACCAAAAATGTTGAGAAGTTTTGGATATTCTTCTTTTCTTTATTTAATCTTTAATAATTAAAAAAAAAAAGTTTAACTCATTGCATAACAACTTACATATATGTATGTAAACCAAAATTTCTAACTTTGTACAGAATTCACGTTTTAAAAATTTTTTAGAACATTTTTTAACTTTGAAGAATTCTGGATATGCAGTTTTGTAGCCCATTCTATTTTTGTGTTACATCCTAGAAGTTTCAAGCGGGTAAAATATACTCTTAAATTTTTTTTGCGAATTTATTTGCCGATGGTGTTGAGCATTTTCTCTCCTATATATATTTTTAAAACTTGAAATTTTTTTGTGAATTCTGTACAAAGTTTGAAATTTTGATTTACATACATATATGTTACTTGTTATGTAATGAGTTAAACTTTTTTTAAAAAAATTATTAAAGATTAAATAAGGAAAAGAAATTTATGCAAAGCTTTCAACATTTTTGGTTACTATTATTTTTTCCACCACTGTATGTACATATTTACATCTTATTGATGGCGTTGGCGAGATTATTGAAAGCATCGGCGGTGGCTTTCAAACCTTCCCCAAGCGCCCGACAATGCATTTGTGGCCGCCGTCATAGAGTTCGCTAGCCTTGTATTCGCCGAACTGCATTCGGCTAGCATCTTTTGAAAAACAAAGCAAATTATGTAATCATTTACAGTGTTGCTAGAACTTTTTGGGACGACCGGCTATATTGGCAAAAAAAAGCGGCTAAAAACGGCTAAAATGTTTCAACTAAAATCCACATGTTTTATTTAAAGAAATCGCAAGTAGAAGGACTAGTAAAATCATTATTTTTTTAGTTAAAAAAGGTTATACGTAGCAAAGCTTTACACCACTCGTTAAATAAATCACAAAAACAGAGACTGGTAAGTTCATTGCAAATTATTTTTGTTTAACAAAAGAAACTGTCATTATACGTACATCAGAAGCATGTTTGTATTACTTAAATATAAAAAAGAGAGATCAATTACAAACTTATAGCGTTTCCTCTTTTATTAAAAAATTTTGCCTTACATTGTAACATTTGCACTAGGTTACTTTTCGTCCTGAAAATTGTTATATTAGTAGAACGTATTTTGCTTAGTCGGAGGGCAATATTTTGAGAAATAAACACGTGGAGGTGTGAAAGGGCTGAAGAAAACAGGCCAACATTATTTCGAAAAAAGAATACGCCATTCAGCATTATCATGAGTTTAATTTTCCCCGAACCGGTTCACTTTTCACTTTTGGTTTCCATGGTTTTACTATGGGCGGATGACAAAATTTCAGGATAAGGCAGATAAATTTATATCGAACAAGCCGGCCGCTTTTTAACTTTTTAAAATTTCACCAACTTTTAACTTTTTAATCAGCATATTTACAAAATGGTATGTATGCAGTATGTATGTCCCAGTTCATATTTGGGTCACTGTACTATATTCAAATAAAATAAAAATCATTGAAATCGGCCCAGTATTTTAAGACTTTTCGTATTAGAGAAAATTCTTTCAAATTTACCTTTACACAGTCCGATATTAAAATTTTCTCCGAGAGCAGTTTCTAATAGATTTTAGGTCCCCAAATATGTTAAAATGGAAATTTATATGTACATATATTTAAATTTTAATAAAATACGGCAAATAGCGAAACCGGCTAAAACCGGCTAACTTTTTTTTGAAAAAACGGCTAACAAATCGGCTGCCGGCTAAATCGAATTTTCTCCGGCTGTTTGCTATCGCAACCGGCTAAATCTAGCCGGGATACGGCTAAAATGGCAACACTGATCATTTATATATATAATAATTTATGCCACGTTTTAAAATACCTTTAGACCATCTGCCTGCTTTTCAGCTATCTCTAAGAATTTCCTCCGCAGGTCGATATCCTCTTCGACCCGTTTCTTTTTAGAGTACCTGCGTGGCGTTTTTGGCGTTGAGGTTTTGGGGGTTTCGCAACGTACTTCATCCTGCTCTTGAATAAATAATTTGAAAACGGTTTCGTCCCCATCCTCCAGAGCCAATTGAAAATCCTTTATTGAAAAAAATGTTTTACAATGCTCTTGAAGTAATGAATTTGATTGAAAATTACCTCCTCTGTCGGTATATTCTCGGGAACATCATTACCCTCTACAAAGCTGCTGCCAATTAGACCTATCACGCGCCTTTCAAGCTCCGCCATAGGCGCCTGGTCAAGTGGCCTGTTACCGGTCAACGCCTGCTGCCTTTTCCGGTCACGAGCCTTTACACTTGTCCTGCTTTTCAAGTCCCGCCATACCTTTTTGTAACATTAAATAAAATTTTATTAGTTTAACAATTAATTTTACACTTTCACTGTTACTCCTCATGGGCTTCATAGTGACTGAGTGGCAGTAATTTGGTAAACTGTTTCTAGCACTGCCATTGTCGCGAAAAATATTTAGTTATTTGTACAACGTGTGTCAGGGGCGAACGCAGAAATTTTTTTCGGGAGGGGTTTTAAAATTATTGTTATTTTTTTTCATTTAATCAGTTGCACCAAATATGCGTTTCGGTAGTACAAAATGTCTATATTTTTTTCAATAAATTCGAGTTATTACATATGTATGCATGAAAAATGTGAAATATCATTTCTCTACTGCTTCGACTTAAAAGAAAATATTGTAATCAGTATTTCTTTATTCGCAACTTGTATGTTTCTTTGGATGCAAAGTAAAGCTTAACCATCTAATCTTTGTTCCCCAGTTTTACTTCGTAAATATGATTCAAGCTTAAGAAGGAGTGTTCACTGGAAATAAGTGTCACAGGAAGTGTTGGCCCTATCTGCAAGAATCGGTATACCTTTAGGTACAGTGATTGATTGCAAACATCAGGAGCGTCTAGGAATGGTGTTGGACTATGCTCCGTAGGTACATTGAAAAAATGCCTGTAAAGAAACATAATAAGGGTATACATCAAACCTTATAAACCGTATAAAATTATAATTGTGTAAACTTTGNGGCATTGTGTTGGCAGTGTTGCCATCTTTTCATTTTCAAAAAGCACCAAAAACTTGGAAAAAAGCGTTTTACCACACTAAAAGCACCAAATTTTTTTGAATCAAGGGATGCTTTTTCATAACATATTACCGAAGTACTGCACATTAAAACTGGTATATCTCGAGAAAGAAAAATCGAATCGCATCAAACGAAAATGATGCCCTAATTAGAAATGAGCAAATAATTTGATGTTTTCATTATATAACATATATAGGTTAGGATATCTTAAAATTCTAGTGCTAGAGCAATTGTGAGGCCAGATTTGGATTCAGCACCAAGAAACGATGTGTTAGCTGCTCAGGTGGTAAAAAAACAAAATTTGTACAAATAACACTATGCGACAGTCAAAATCGGGATGGGATGAAACCAACGGGCAATGTTATATCGGCCAAAAACAAGTTATACGTGGCCTGGAGTTTCGCTGGGTCACGTCTAGGAATCGAGATATATCGATTTGAAGTTNAGCTGCTCAGGTGGTAAAAAAACAAAATTTGTACAAATAACACTATGCGACAGTCAAAATCGGGATGGGATGAAACCAACGGGCAATGTTATATCGGCCAAAAACAAGTTATACGTGGCCTGGAGTTTCGCTGGGTCACGTCTAGGAATCGAGATATATCGATTTGAAGTTAGTAACTATCATATAGGGGAAATTGTCACCTTTGGTGGTCTTTT